GCAGAACAGAATTATAAATTTTAAGAACCTGTCCATTACTAATTGGAAATAAAACAAGCTTTATGCCGTGGCTTCGTCCTGGGCCAGCTGGAGTTTGTCAGCAGGGTTTGCAGTCTTCTCTCTCCTCCTCTAGGAGCGACTTCCCATCGTCCTGTCTAAGTAACATAAATAATGGACATAATGTGAGCACATTTTAAAATAAAAATATTATTTGCAGTTCAGATTAATCAATCTTTACAAAAATTCTTATTCTTTTTCTATTACTATTCTTTTTTCTTCTTTTAATTTTTTCACCTAAATCCATTTTACTATTCAATAAAGAAAAAAAAAGTTTATTTTGTTGTGAAAGTGCATTATATTCTTTGGTTCGCTAGGCTGCCCATGAAAGCATGATATTGCTCTTTTTTCAGTGTACATATATCAGCAACACTGCAGCAACAATTGGAAATTGTTTGAAAACAATTATGTTTATAGAAAAGCAACCAAGATAGAAGCACCTGCTTGTGAAAATAACTTAATTCTAACTGGAATTTTACTAAGTTCAAATTGCATTCAAAGATTAGGTTAGGAATTAAATATCACATTTTATTTTTGTACTGAAAATAATGCTTAATCCATCTTTTTTTTTTTTTATTGTATTTTTGAAGTGCTGAAATCAAGCACATTCAAGCCTCCATTGCAAACCGAATTAAAGTACATTTTTTAATATAATGAGATCTGTTTCTCCAAATAAAATTGAAAAGATGCACCTCATAAAAGTCGAACACAAATTGAAGAATTGCTGCAACCGCTTGATTGAACCAGTTTGTACCAATCACATTATCCCTACAGCGTGCAAAGGGTGCTGTATGTAGTAGCGAACCCCCCTCCCGCCCTCGCGTGATGATCACAGAGGACGTTCAGGCGGCACTGTGAAACGTAAGTACACATCTAAGATAAATATGAATTAATTAATTCTTTATCGAAATTGCAGCCTGCGTCAGCCAGATGTACTTCATTTTGAGAACAGTTGTGATCATTACGCTCTGTTATTATCCCCGCTGTGGAAAATGAATATAGAACGGTTCAACAAAAGAACGTTCAGTGTGACGGTGGAAAAGTGCTCATTGAATTTTAATATGACCATGTCTGTAAATTACAGAACACAGGTGCCTTGAAACTTCTACAGCTGATTTGGACTTCAAGGGGAAAGCTTCCACCCACTTGGAAAAATAATCAGTTATTGTCCAAATGTACACATGCCCATCAACTGTCTTGGGCAGTGGTCCTGTCAAATCAATCCCCAGCAATTCACAGACTAAGGAGACCTAAAAAAAGAACAGCAAGCAGTCCAATAAAAATTATAATTAAAAAAATAATAAGTTTGCAGATCAGAATGCATTATGCTTAAAATTAGCAATTTCAAAGCAGAAATACCTGAATACTTTCCAGTGTGCTCTCTACTATAAGAGGTTTTCCCACCCTTTGATATTGGTCACATTCACTCACCTAGAAAATATGACAAATGATGCCCATAAAAATCATTAAGTACAAGCTATAACAATAAACCATATTTATTTGTCATCAAAAAATGTAACTAATCTTGCCAATGACTCATCAACGTATAATCGATTACCTTATAGACACAATGCAACAATGCAACACATTAGAAAAGGTATGCCATATGGACAAAAGTATTGAGACACCCCCTTCTATTGAACAGGTTTGACTACTGTTGTCATTGCCGAGAGCACAAATCTTAATGCTACAACATGTAATGATATTCTAGAGTACGGATGGACCGATATGAGATTTTGATGGATTACTGTACGCAAAAATATCATGGTTTCATAACATTTCCCATGCCTATTCTAGAGAACTGTGTGCTTCTATTTTTATAGCAACAGTTTGGGCAGGGCTATTTCCTATTCCAGCATAACAATTCCCCCATGCATGATTTGGAAAGGCACACACCTGTCTAAGGTCCCACAGTTAACAGTGCATGTCAGAGCACAAACCAAGCCATGAAGTCCAAGGAATTGTCTGTAGACCTCTGAGACAGGATTGTATCGAGGCACAGATTTGGGGAAAGGTACAGGAAAAATTGCTGCAGCATTTAATGTCCCAATGAGCACAGTGGCCTCCATCATCCGTAAATGCAAGAAGTTTGGAACCACCAGGACTCTTCCTAGTGCGGGCCGCTCAGCCAAACTGAGCAATTGATTGAGAAGGGCCTTGTCTAGAGTGGTGACCAAGAACCTAATGGTCACTCTAATTGAGCTCCATGATCATATGTGGATAAACCTACAGAAGGACAAACATCACTGCAACACACCACTGATCTGTGCTTTATGGCGGTGTGGCCAAACCCAATTCTCTCCTCAATGAAGACACATAAAAACACACTTGGAATTTGCAAAAAAAGCACCTAAAGGACCCTCAGGCTCTGAGAAACAAGATTCTCTGGCATGATAAACCTCAATTCTAAAGCATCATGTTTGAAGGATACCAGCTCTGATCATCACCTGCAGAGTACCATCTCAAAAGTAAAATGTGCAGCAGCCTCATACTGTGGGGCTGTTTTTCAGTGGCAGGGACTGAAGGACTCGTCAGAGTAGAAGAAAAGCTCAATGCACCAAAATATTGAGATAGCCTTAATGAAAACCCAGTCCAGAGCATTCAGAACCTCAGACTGGGCAGAAGGTTCACCTTCCAACAGGACAATGACCCTAAGCACACAGCAAGAGTGGCTTATAGACAACTCTGTGAATGTCCTTGAGTGGCCCAGCCACAGCCTGGGCTTGAACCCAATCAATTTATTTCTGGAGAAACCTGAAAATGTGCGCCTGCTCCCATGCAACCTGACAGAGTTTGAGAGGTGAAGAGGTGAGGAGAAGAATGGCAGATATTGCCAAATGATGATGAGCAAAGCTTGTAGCATCATACTCAAAGTCTTGAGGATGTAATTGGTGCAAAAGGTGCTTTGACAAAGTATAGAGCAAATGTACAAGTGATTTTTTTTTTTCATTTATTATTTTTAATAAATTTGCAGAGATTTCAAACAAACTTCTTTCACGTTGTCATTATGGGGTATTGTTTGTAGAATTTTGAGGAAAATAATGAATTTAATCCATTTTGGAATAAGGCTGTAACATAACATAAAATGTGGAAAAAGTGAAGCGCTGTGAATACTTTCTGGATGCACTGTATATACTATATAAGTACTGTGTGCACATAAAGTTTGTGCGCACGTGGGGCTGCGTGTTAATAAATTACCTTCTCATATGTCTAAACTTAGACGACTGTGTGGAAGCACTAATTCGAGACACACATCAAGCATTCTGCGTTAGTTCAGGCAGGCCTCGTAGTCAAGCTCCGCTATTAGCTGATTGGAGGAATTCAAACCCGGCCCTATCAGCTGATCCGACTCCTAAGCTCTCAATTGGCAATTCTCAACCAGGGCGCCTTACTTAAACACGGCTTCTGTCCGCTTGCTTTGCTGCTTCCTCTGTACGCTGCTTGCAACCCACCACCTCCCCATCTCCTCCTTTAACTGTGTTTAACTTAAACAATGTCATTCTGTTGTCATTGTTGCATGCTCTGTTCTGGGGGTCTTTTTGTGCTATTCTCCTATTCTTAAAATAGGAGGGTTGCCCCTGAAGCGACTGCTGTTTCCCTGTCCTGGCTTTCATGGAGCTCATGAAAAGGACAGGGAACTTGGAACAGAGCCATACTGCCAAATGTAACTTTAGTAAACATGCCAATAAAACGTTGACAAAGGCTTGTCTATTGTTTTCTTTTTGACTTAAGAGGTCCTGACTGAAATGACACACCATGTCAGCATTATAAACTGTGACAAAACATAGCAGATTTGCATTTCAAAGTGTAGTTTTGATATGCGCTGCTCGCTTATACAAGCACCTTTCAAAAGATACTCTGCGTTAGTTCAGGCAGGCCTCGTAGTCAAGCTCCGCTATTAGCTGATTGGAGGAATTCAAACCCGGCCCTATCAGCTGATCCGACTCCTAAGCTTGCAATTGGCAAATCTCAAACAGGGCGCCTTACTTAAACACTGCTTCTGTCTGCTTGCTTTGCTGCTTTCTCTATTACGCTGCTTGCAACCCCCCTCCTCCCCATCTCCTCCTTTAACTGTGCTTAACTTAAACAATGTCATTCTGTTGTCATTGTTGCATGCTCTGTTCTGGGGGTTTTTTGTGCTACTCTCCTATTCTTAAAATAGGAGAGTTGCCCCTGAAGCTGCTGCCGTTTCCCTGTCTTTGCTTTCATGGAGCTCATGAAAAGGACAGGGAACTTGGAACAGAGCCATACCACCAAATGTAACTTTAGTAAACATGCCAATAAAACGTTGACAAAGGCTTGTCTATTGTTTTCTTTTTGACTTAAGAGGTCCTGACTGAAATGACACACCATGTCAGCATTATAAACTGTGACAAAACATAGCAGATTTGCATTTCAAAGTGTAGTTTTGATATGCGCTGCTCGCTTATACAAGCACCTTTCAAAAGATACTTGTATTATATGTTATATGTTAAGATGATATAGGCTACTTAAAAAGCAGCTGTTAATGCATTCATATGCATTCTGCATACATATTACATACATATTACATTATATCTTCAATATAGTGCGGTATGCTTTCTACAAGTCCCCCACAAAAGTAATAATAATTTAATCCCTCTAATTTCAGGCCCTGTTTGCAGTGCACAGTGTTTGTCATGTAGTTTGACATGTTCTTAGCTTGAAAACAACTGGTAAATGAAAAGCTGGAAACTATAATAAATCTTTGTTACTATTTAAATTACTAGTACATCAGAATTAGAGGACAATATGCATTGAATTGTGACCCTCTGAATTGTAATCGAATCAAACTGTGAGGCAAACAAACTGGCAGCATATGAATATCTCTCAGGAGTCAGGACAGTGGGCTGTTTGTTTTCAAGAGACAGTTGATTCCAAAAACGGGGTGGCAACTGAAAAAAACTGAAAAATGACCCCTAATTTTTAAAAGAGCCCTATCAGAGGATACAAAAATCTAGAGGATGAAAGAGGAGTAAGAAGATCTGTAAGATAAGATGGGGCTTGATCATCATAAGAACAAACAGAATTTTAAACTGGATCCTAAAATGGACCAGGAGCTAATGAAGTGACACTAAAATTGGTGTAACATGATCATATTTTCTGCCCTAGTCAACAGCCTTGCAGCTGCATTTTGTACCATCTGGAGGCATGCAGTGGAAAACTAAGAAAGACCCAAATGCAAAGAGTTACAATAATCTAAGCCACATGTAAAAGCATGAATAACCTTCTCCAAGTATTAAAAAGACTAAATTAATGGCATATCAATGGCATATGAATATATGATCAATTACCCATTTCTCAACGTCGACAAACATCCCTGGCCAATAATACCTGGCACACAAGGCATTGCGAGTTTTAAATACCCCACTGTGGCCTCCCAAAGGGATGCTGTGGAATTCCTCGAACAATGCCCTGCATTCGTCCTTGGTTTTAACCGCCTTCCTTCTCCCATAATACAGCAAACCATCTGTAACATTGCCTAAATTGACTAAATATGTTATATAAATTAACCTTAGAGACTTTTTGCAAAACACTGCCTTCACACTAACCTGTGACTCCGAAGAGTATCACCTCAAGTTTTGACGTTCAGTTGTATTATATTGTGTTGGGTACACATTTGTAGTGAGGAAAGCGATCACCTCTTCGTATCTTCTCTCCATGATACTATCTACAATGCTTTCAGAAGAAAAGAAAATAATTCAGAAGCAGACAGATTACCCACACAGACAGTTATTGTTTTTATTGGTTATGTCACAACAGTTACTAAAAATTATACAATATATACAATTATACATTGTGCATTCCAATTAATCTCAATCAAACTGCAGTTGGGTTATTTTGATTAGGTTAAGAAATAACTAAAAATTACAGCTAACTAACACAATAAAAACATGATAACATATTAAAAAAAACATTATTTTTGAAACATTATTATAATAAATTATTATTAGAGTTATCTGTTTTTGCAAATAAACTATATATATATAGTTTTAAATATGATTGAGCAATATACACTGAACATATGAAGAGTCCATTTACACAAAAAACATAACTCATATATAAAAAAATTAATAAATAAAAAAAATTGTGACATTTGAAATTAACATTTGATTCCACAGAAGGCTTCTTAGAACACATTTGAACAGTTCTAAACTTAATAATAATAAATAAATTAGTCATTCGCTCAGTTATGTAATTTTTAATGCAAATATGACATTGTTTGAGATGTCTTTGTTATGGGCTATGGTTAGGGGTAAGGGTAGGGGTAGGGTTAGGTCAAATAATGTCATAATTGCATTAAAAATGACAACTGAGCGAATGACACTTAATGACAGTTGTCATAAACATTCATAAAACCTCCTTCATATTCATGACATGTGTCATGTCATGATTATGAAGGTGTCATGTCAGTCTTATGCACACCCCTTCACGTAAAGTGTTACCTAATATTTAATAAACAACAACAGCCATCATAAAAGTTGCTAGGCAATTCAGTCAAAAGCACAAAGGCGCTCTGATATACAGCATTGAATTTACATAAACATGAGATTTTGCCAAAACTATCTTCTCTGGAACAAATAATAGATTAATGAGACCAAAGACAGCCCGTTAGATAAGAGCTGGAAAGACACTGAATGTGAAAACCCAGCTAAAGCCATTTTTTTGTGTGATTTACTGTTAAAATCATTCTACATAATGCAAAGAGCATTCTGTGAAAATATAACATTGATATCTTTAATATTGACGGAGTAAGACCATGTCAAAGATTAAAATCATAGTGAAATTAATGATTGAAAAACTTATTACATATTTAGCCTGAATATCACAGGCTCACAAATAATCTGTTTTGAAGAGTAGCCCACTTAAAACGTCATCAACTACCTTGTGTAAAAATACATAGTATTACACAAAACTTTAATACTGTAATAGAGTTGACCTATAAGACAAAAACATTTTCATGTTATGCACATCGAAATCACAATGAAGAAATGATCACCCCTTTACTGGGAGCTATTCGATTTTGAATATAGTATTTTAATTGAGCAAGATCGATCTAAATCACGGGCTCGTCAAGACCGCATGCTTTTTAGGAAGAAGTAAAACCCTCATCTGTGATAACGTTATGCACATCGGTTTTCTCGTCAGAGAAATTACAATTAAGCGTTGGAATGAAAGACAATGAAAAAATATCATGTGAAAGATTCGACTTTACTGTGAAAAGTATTTTATTTAGTAAGACTGATTTAAAGCAAGGGCTCCTCAAGACCGCGTGGTTTCTGAAGAAGCACCCTCGTGATAACGTTATAAAACTCGTTTTTGTTGTTAGAAATTATTAGACATTGAAGAAATTACTACATATTTACTGGGAGAGATTCAATTGAACAAAAAACACAACTTTAATTAAGCGAAATTGATTATACTTACGCGCTCGTTCACAACTCAGACAGAATTTATGGGCGGGTCTTCAGATAGTGGGTTTCCAAGAGTAGTAGGGTACTGCGCATGCGCAGTGTATATGGGTAGCTCCTGCAATATAACAAAGAGTGAAAAATTTAAGGGGGTCTGAATACTTTCCGTACCCACTGTATATAAAAGCAATATCACACGAGTAGACATGAGATATGGCTGTATATCGAGACCGCTGTGATTCAGCCGTAGGTAATCACAGCGTGCTATCTCACGTGTCACGCCTACAAGTGTGATATTGCGTTTATACAGTTCTCAATACTAAACACTATTATTAAATACTATTGTTTATATAAAATATTATTTACATAAAATATTATTCATTGAATAATCATATTTGGTTACACTTTACTTGAAGGGGTGTGCATAAGACTGACATGACACCTTCATAATCATTACATGACGCATGTCATGAATATGAAGGGTTTTTATGCATGTTTATGACAACTGTCATTAAGTGTCATTCGCTCAGTTATGTAATTTTTAATGCAAAGATGACATTGTTTGAGATGTCTTTGTTATGGGCTATGGTTAGGGGTAAGGGTAGGGGTAGGGTTAGGTCAAATAATGTCATAATTGCATTAAAAATGACAACTGAGCGAATGACACTTAATGACAGTTGTCATAAACATGCATAAAAACCCTTCATATTCATGACATGTGTCATGTCATGATTATAAAGGTGTCATGTCAGTCTTATGTACACCCCTTCAAGTAAAGTGTAACCTATTATTATTATTATGCCTATTATTATTTGGCTATTATTAGGCTTCTCGTCCTAATTGGAAATGTTTTAAAAACAGCCTATAAAACTAAGCCCACATCAAAATTGAACTGCAAGGTGATATTTACAAATTATGTCAAGAGTGCTAAAAGAATACAGTTCAACAACGTTGTATGCACTGTGCTCTTTTGTTACTTGATCTTTTTATTTTGGTGCGACAATCTGTTAAGTTACTTAGTAATTTACTTAGAAAATGCAATAATTAAAACCATCAGAAATACATCGTCATAAACAATCATTGTTTTTCACACTAAATACTCAAGATTTATTATATAAAATATTAGAAATGAATTCGACCAATTATAGTTCATTAAAGGAAAACAGAAAGATCTAATTCCTCATTCATGTCATTTGGGGTCAGTGATTTAAGTTTATGAATCCAAAATGCTTCTCGTTTCAATAGTTCTTTATTTATATTACCTCCTCTACGTGACCCAAAAACTTCCTCTATTCCTGTACATTCCAATTGCTTGATGTCGTGTCCCAAATTATTAAAATGTCTCGCTACTGAAGAGGGTATGTCTTGTCGTCGTATACTAGATTTATGTTCATTAATTCGTAATTTCAACTGACGCAAAGATTTTCCTATATATATCTTTTGACAGGGACATTTTAACATATAGATCACATTACGAGTTGAACAGGTAATACAAGATGTGATTTTAAAACATTTCCGTGTTACTGGACATATAAACTCTTTACACTTCACCAAATTCCGGCATGCGGCACAGTTTCTGCACGTGAAACAGCCTTGTATATAAGCAGACTTTTTCCTCCTTACTACATCCGAGTTTACCATCATATCTGATAGATTTCGTGATCTTTTAAAAGTGAATGATGGACGATATTGAAATTTCTCATTTAGAGATTCATCAGATGATAATAT